ACGATTAGGCTGTATATTTTTGCATAGTGCTCTACTTAGAGATGGCTACATTTACCATCTTATATACATTGCCGGAGTGTGACCTTCAGTCCACTATGTTTCCAGCGTAATGAGCATCTGCAAAACCTTGAATATTTCTACAAGCCACGTCTTTAGACTAGACAAGTCCCATGCTCTTGGTACCCTTTAAGTATCTCAAGACCCGTTTAGCTGCGATCCAGTGCACTTCATCATAACAATTGCAGAAGTGACTCATAAAGTTTACGGCATGTGCTATATCTGCCTTGAACAACGTAAATATGAAAAAGAATAACCCTCAATGTCACGTCGGCCAATATATACGCTCTGATACTCTTCCTCAATTATTTACACCTGGTTTTCCTTATACTATCAAAAAACCTTCTCAGTTATGAACACTCAGTACACACCCATTTCTCTACGGCAAAACTCATATTTGCCCTTTGACACTACTTTCGTTAAAGCATCAGCAACCATGCACTTGGTTTCTAAATACTTGAGCTTTATAGTATCCTTTTCTAATGCTTCTCTAATAAAATGATAGCGAAAATCAACATGTTTTGTCTGCTGATGTTGCACCGAATTTAGGACTCTTGCCATAGCAGATTGACTACCTGTATACATCGTGATAGGCAACTCCTCCTTGCTCGTGATTTCGTTCAGAAATCGTTGTGAAATATGACTTCTTTTGTAGCTTCTGATTGACGGATGTACTCAGCTTCAGCTGACGATTAGGCTGTATATTTTTGCATAGTGCTCTACTTAGAGATGGCTCCATTTACCATCTTAAATACATTGCCGGAGTGTGACCTTCAGTCCACTATGTTTCGAGCGTAATGAGCATCTGCAAAACCTTGAATATTTCTACAAGACACGTCTTTAGAATATCCAAGTCCCCTTGCTCTTGGTACCCTTTAAGTATCTCAAGATCCGTTTAGCTGCTATCCAGTGCACTTCATCATACCAATTGCAGAAGTGACTCATAAAGTTTGCGGCATGTGCTATACATCTGGCATTGAACATACAGCTATGTAGGGACATCAGTGAGCCTGTCAGCTCTCTGTAGACTAAGTTTTCATTTGTACACTCTTTCTCTTTTTCAAATCGTTGTTCAGGAGCTGCTGGTGTACTAACTGCCTTGAGTTTTCCATCTTGAACTTGTGAAGAAGCTTTTCAATATAACCCTCTTGCTTGATTTTAATGCAACATTTTTCTTGTTGGACCTCTATCCCAAGAAATAGTTCGGCTTTTTCTAGATCCTTCATTTCAAATTTTTATTTTAATTTTAATTCTTCCTTAACATTTTGCATCTCCCGCTCATTGTTGTAGAAAATGAGAATGTCATGTACATAAACGGCTAATATTATTAAGTCCTTTCCTGTAGACCTCGTGTATACACAGGATTCATGTTTACATAGTTTGAACTTGAGGCTTTCTAGCTCAGTATGCAATTTAATTTAAATTTAAGTTTAATTTCCAGGAACATGGCGCTTGCTTCTATCCGTTAAGAGATTTCTTGAACAAGCACTCGTATTCATCCTTTCGTTTTTCTATAAACAGCGATGACTACTGCATGTAATCTTTCTCAATTAGATCACCATTTAAGAACGCGGTTTTAACGTCCATGTAATATATTTTTAGACCTAGGTGGACCGCCAAAACTATGAGCATTCTTAACGAGCTTTGTATCACAAGAGGAGCAAACGTCTCATCGTAATCAATGCTTCTTCTTTGGCTAAAGCCTCGTGCAACCAAATGAGGCTTGTAACGGATTTTACACCCTGCTTCCTTTTTGATTTGAAATATCCATTTCGAATCAATACTGTTGGTTGCTTCCTCAGGCTTTACTAAATCTCACGTTTTATTTTTGTTTAAAGAATCTAGCTCATTGCTTTGCATCCCTTCGTGACAATGCCTCTTGCTCTGTCGTAGGATCATCTGTTTCAGATACTGCTTAGTAGGTGATAAAGTCAGAAAATTGAGTGGATTTGCTTCCTCTCTGTGGGTATCTCCGTTCTACCAGTACAGGTTTAGGTGTGGTCTCCGGATCATATGTTCCCTCTTCAGATGACAAACATTGTTCTTCTTCGTCATCTACTCTTTCAGTAATTTCATCAACATGATCTCTATCACTTGATTGAAGATACTCTTCATAATTTTTCTGATCTCGCTGAACACTTTCTCTGTTTTCTAATGGTTTGTAATGCATATCATCATTCCCTAAAGTGATGCTTACTGGTACAGTTTTCTCTTTTGGTTTTGTGACGTCGGGATACATTTGCTTTTCGAAAAATATTACACCACGTGCTCTATGAAGTTCTCTCGTTTTAGAATCAACCAATCTATATCCTTTCGATTCATTGCAATAGCCAACAAAAACAGTTTTTTTCACTTTTGGAATCCCATTTGGTTTTCTTTTGATCCGGTATGTGAATATATGCTTTACCTCCAAATACTCTAAGATGACATACATCTGTCATCCGACCGGTCCATGCTTCTTCAGGTGTCATCTTTTTAACTGCCAGAACTCCTATTCTTCAAATATACTGCGGTGTTTACCGCCTCCACCCAAAATTGAACGGGAATTCCTGCTTCCTGCAGCATAGATCGGGCCTTTTCAGTGATGGTGCGATTGGCACGCTCTGCAACACCGTTCTGTTCCAGTGTGTATGCAATCGTAAGTTGACGCTTAATACCACGTTCTCTAAAGAACTTATCGACTTTCATATTAACGTGTTCGCCTCCATTATCTGTCCTCAACGCCTTCAGCTTCTTTCCGGTTTGAGTCTCTGCAAATTTCGTAAACTCCTTTATTTTTTCAAAAGCCTCGCTCTTTGCTTTGAGAAAATATAAAAAGCTTTTCGCTTATAATCATCCATAAATGTAATATACAAATGAAACTCTCCGAAAGACTTATCACTCATTGGTCCCCTAACATCACAATGTACCAATTCTAGAAGCTCTTTAGCTCTCGTAGCTTCATTGAGTTCAAATGGTTGTCTAGTCTGTTTGCCCTTCAAACAGGCTACGCCGTCCAGTTGACTACAAGAAAGATTAGGAAAACTGACCCCAATAGCTAGTTTATCTTTAAGTAAAGTGAGACTACGAATACCCAAGTATGCCATCCTTATAAACCAAAGCTCCAACTCATTGCTTACTTCTGTCACCATTCCAATGGGCTGTGGAAAGTATTTAAGTTTATAAACGCCTCTATCTATCAAGTACTCCTGTCATACATGGTTGACCCTGTATCGTACACTCACTCATATCAAAGATCTCGCATCCTTCTTTAGAAAACACAACAACTTTAGCTTTTGTATACACAATACAGCTTACAAACATTTGGAAATGTGAATAAACGCGTTTACATACGAATGGGTATTTTTCACACCTACCTAGCTCCCCGAAATTCGGTCAGGTTGTACTGGCCGTGGTCACGGGCTGACTCATAAATACCTATTCGTATGTAAACGCGTTTATTCCCGTTTGTTACAAAATGTTAGTACAATGCAACGCGAAAGTTTAAAAGTATATAATACAGCTTACACTCAATAGATTAGAAGCAAGACCTGGTACATATATTACGTTACTCACACTAATGCAATTCTTTACTGTACCAAAACCTTCTCCATACATTTACTTCCATTTGCGCAACACACTCCTTCCTACTTTCATAAAATTATCCATCCAATCTCTCCCACAGCTCATATGTGTTCGGAATATGTATGTTGTGCTTCGGAATCTAAAATCCATTTATCTTCATTGTTCTTTTCTTGAACAGAAGTCAGTGCCGTTGCCATATGACTCGGATTGACGTGGATTCTGCGGGCAGTCGTAAGCTTTGTGTGGTCCGTTACATATGAAACACTTCACGATCTTCTTTCGTGTGTACTTCTGAACAGGTTTTCTATACTGTTTCACTGTAGTAAGTGTCGAACTCTGCCTAGAAGTGCTCGACCTACGCAAACTTTGCTCTCACCTAATTGAAACAGTTTTGTTTTTATATAATCAGTGCTTAATGCTATGTTGGTATTCTCTAACGCCAACCTCATAGGCATGTATTCCTCTGGTAATCCCTGTAGCATCAGTACCGCTAACAATTCATCATCAATTTCTTTCCCAAGGTCTGACAGTTGATTAGGTACTCTCATTAGCTCTGTTACATACTTGGTTATGGAATTGAATATATTAAGCTTTAGGCCCACCAGTCTCGATAGCAGCCTACATCTGTTGTTAATGCATTTGTCCTCATAAGCTGCTTTCAGACAATTCCACGTCTCATACGTCGTTGTTGCTTTGCGTTACGTGTACATTTCAAGGGTTTTCAATAAGTAAGCAAATTTTTGTTCGTGCTTTTTGGTTACCTTGCTTAGCAACTGGATCATCAGCAGCGGGCGAACTCTCAACGTATTGCCATAGATCATCATGGACTAATATTCACTTAATATCAAACTTCCAACTGTCAAAGTTGCTACTTCCTTGTAGCTTCTCAATCCCAGGAAGTCCAGACCCCGACATTAGTACTCATTTCTCTAACTAGAGTATTACTTATACGAACCTGGTTAATCTCACCATTAATATCTCTTTGTTTCATATATCATAATCACGTTCATACACACTTTGCACTAAATCTGTTCTCTCAATATTTAGTAGCTGCTGGTTCCCATAGCTCCTTCGATAGAGCTATAGATTGATAGAGCATCAATAAACGAGAAAATTCTTTTAATATTTTAATAAGGATCTTTATTAAAATATATCTATTAAAAACAAATAACGTGAAAAAAAAACACAACTTAACATGAAAAGAATTCTACGAGGTAACAAAGTAAATTTGAAAAAGAATGACTCTCAATGCACACCGGCCAGTTTGTAAAAGATTGCACATCCCTGCTCTGACATTTACTACTGTGATACTCATCTGTTATTTCTGAAAATACTCCACTTAATTCTCATTATTATAGATACATAGATCGTAACAGTGAGCATTGTTACAAGTATAATACCATTGGATCGTAAACACAAAGAAAAATTCCTTCGGCCCGACAGGACTCGACCCAATGCCTATAATTTCAACGTGGCTACAGGCGTGGATTTATTTATATTTATTATGTGCATTTCCCAAATTCGGTAAATAATTGTCTAATTTAATTATTGGTGTAGTCATTTATCCGATCCGTCATGAGATCGTACTTGGGCATTTATTGCATATGCACTATGTTTGACATAGTATAAATAAGACAAATATTATGGTAAATCCTTGCAAACGTGGCCCGCCGCGTGGCGTGGAAAGACCTTAGAGGATGGGAAAAAATAAAGGAAAGGAGCTGCCCTATCTACGGAATAAACCATCCCTGCCTAAACCAAAAATGTCCACCACAAATGGCGGATTTCTTTAGTGTTGTACCATTATGATCGATAAATCAATATCGACATGCAAATGTATGGCTTGAATGTTGAAACTGTTTTTTTTTTGTTATATTTGTAATTTGTATAGTTCACTGTTATCAAAGTATGATTAAAATATTTAATTAAAGTAGATCAATATTCATTGTCATATGGTAATATCCGGGATGGCAGATATGAGATTTTAAATGTATTATTTTGCATTTATAAATGCTCACATATTGCGAAAAATAATCTAAATCAGGAGATCTTTATGCATTTCCAATCTAAAGACTGATATTAGGTTTTTTAAAAGGTTTCCAAATAGTTTAAGCTGTTTTATATTTATGTATTGGTATAGGATTAATATCAGTGATTTTGATTTAGGTGAATTCTTCCATTTAATTTTTGAAATAAATAAAATTACTTATATAATTGTAATTACATTATCGATAATCATAAAATCAGATATAATTTTAATAATAGGTAAGTTTATTCGCCTAAAACATGGTATAACAGAAGACGTAGCAAGAGACAGTGTCAGTACAAACATATTATATTACATAACCATATATGAAACTACCACAACAATAAAAACGTCACAACAAATGGTAGGTAACAAACGAAGGTGATATTTGATCCAATGTTTATGTTCGGCAATCCCATAATTTCCAACCATTCTTTCTTTTTTTTTCATTTGTAGGTAAAGTTTGAAAATAAAAACAATAATAATGAAAAATAAAAACCTCGTAGTGAATTGTTTCAATAACAGAATATCGATAATATGTCTGCTTACAAGAATAACACTATCTCAAAATAACCGTTATCAACAATCATCAAAAAATACTAACAAACAGGCAATCTAAAGTAACTAAAGCAAAATTTGGCAAGACTTATAAATAAACTACTTAAATGAGTCTAATTAATTGTAAATTTAAAAAAAGTAAATAATGTAATTCACTTTAATTTTGACACTCATTTAGATTTAACAGTTTTCTTAAAACGTTCTATTGTTTAAACACATATAACATGTTGCTAAAATACCGACATAAATGTTTTGTGCGTTATTATAACAATGGTAGATATACAAATACACATAATTTGTTGTACGCAAAACATTTATGTCGATAATTTATCAAAACAAAAAATATATAGTTAGTTACATCACTAGCAAAAATTACTATATCGTAGGTAACGTATTATTACATTGCTCCGTATGTTTTGTAACACCATAGATATTTTGACGGCTTAAAACAGCAATGGTGTCTTCACATTGACGAGAACACCAATAAACTGATTCTCAAAGTGCATAATTTTATTTTAATAAAAACAGCCCTTGTGCTTCAAAATGTACCTAATTCCCTTATTGGTATAATTACAGCTTGTGGAAGAATTTCCTCAATTACTTATGCTGCAAAACACCATTTTTACTCACGTTTCACTTCAGAAGTTTCGAGCAATACTGAATGAATGAATGATGATTCACAAATTGGATTTGCGAGCCCAGACTGGGCCATCGTGATCCAGAAGTGTGTGGGTTCAAAGAGTACAGGATGTATTCTCTTCAGGAACACCGAGGCCACATCCAATTAGTTCATCTGATACTGCGTGACCTCGTCGACAACCTGCCGCTGGTCTTGTTCTCCCGTAATTCATCTCCCAAGCGCATTGTAAGCTCTACCGGTCCATGCCTTAGTCCTACACGGAAGCAAAAGTTGGTGAACTATTTTATTTTTACCTTTTCATTATAATCTTATCGACCAAGACAGATATTAACAATTTCACTACGTATGGGGTTACCACGTAAAGTCTAAGAGACAATCAATAATTTTACTTTTTTTATTTTTTTATTTAACTCTGAGGACATGGGAATAAAATGATCACCTGTTATGGTTTAAAACCTACAAACTCCCTGATTATTCCCCATTACAGTTTGTTAAACCGTAAATGGGTGAATATCTCATGCGTAAATTTTGCGAGTCCAGGCTGAGAAACCAGGTGTAGAGTGAAAAAATATTAATGATTTATTTTTTATAGTTTAATTAGACGTAAAATGAGTTTAGGGCAAGAATTTCAGAAAATTCATTGTACAATAATAATTAATAAAAATATTAATGTCCCGATTTTCAATTTTGCTGAATAATAATTAATAAAAATATTAATGTCCCGATTTTCAATTTTGCTGGTGTGTCTACTTTCTGTTTCATTGTATAAAATAGTCGTTCTGCTAAAATGTGTACGCTTTTAAGAAAAGCAATTCCAAGTATGTTATTCACTATTAGAAGCACTAACTAAAATCATTGAAAGTATTGCAATTACCAGTATGTGGGAGTCTGGGTACTTGATCAAACTTTGGCCACGCGAAAATTGTAGTTTTGATGGCAAATATTCAACTGGTTGCAACTGGTAAGTAGTTTAACTAAAAACCATTACGTTCTTGCCCCGCGCAAGCCTCAGTCGTGTATTAGGACCTGGCAGCGAAAAACATGGGCACTGTGTTCCATTTCCCGCCAAAAAAGTAATTATATGCCCTTTGGTGGCACGTGGAACAAAACATATTCAGGTTTCCTGGCTCCATTTGGGCTCAACTTTTGTTTTATCCTAAGGTCGTATTCTGAAATCAAATTAAGAGACTAATTTTGTCATTATTTTATCACAATTTAATCGTCTCCGTTTGATTTTTAAGCTTTTACTTTTTTCCCGTAATTTATTTTTTGAGATTTCATCTTACGTGGCTCAAATTTGGTGGTTTTGGTGGCGTTTGTGTTACCACCTTTACTTAAAAACGCCACCACATTTTAAATTGTTATGATATTTTTTAATATAACGTTCACTTTCGAAAATTGTTTTAAAGTATTATAAGAAAGATAGTGTTATTCATAATTTTTAAGATAACCAAAAATTACTTAATTGCTTTTTGATCTATTTGTACTTTAGCGATCTTTTAAATTTGTATTTTACATTTTTATATTACATTTGTATTATACATTTACATTTTAAATGAACGGTGATATCATTTATTAAATGATTTTGTTGAGAACGTCAAACACGAAAATTTAGTTCATTCTTGTTTTCATTGGCAGTTGAATAACTACGATACACTACGCTGTCTCCAGGAATGTTTTCTGAAGATAAATTGTAGAAACTCAAATGTTTACCATGAGGACATGCGGTGGGTTTATCGAGACATTGAGACTTGATGCAAAATAAGGCACAGAGTGCTAATTTAGAGTTGTTACTTTTTTCCAAATAGCCTGAAGAAATAACACTTGGTACAATTATAACTAACTATCATAGTCATAGTGGTGGAACACCTTGACATTCAATAAAATTTATGTACAACCTGAAGAAAATTCATGTTACCATGAAAAGGTAACATGATATCTTTTTCTACAATTTCGTAATTTTCTACAGGTTTAATTTTAATATTATCAATGGCAGATTTCAAGGCCAGATAAACGAATCAATATCAGTAATGTTGTTTCCAAATGACACTTTGATCTGCAGTTCTATTTAATAATCCTTCGACTCCTGGGCACCCTTGCCATGGCCAAATTCGCAATAATCGCGGGTGCCCCGGATGGAGTTGGAGGATTTTTAAAGACAACTACAGATCAATCAGTGTCGTTTGGAAATGACATTACTGACATTAATTCGATCATCTGGTGTTAAAAGCTACCGGTAATAATAATCAAATTAAACGTGTACATTACGAAATTGTTCAGGTTATTTGAAGAAAAAGTAATAACTCTAAACTAGTAGTCAGTGCCTTATCAAAACCATCATCTGATGATGATGAGGTGATGGTGTTTCAGTCCAACTACTCAAAGCAGGAGGAAATCCTGTGGTAAAAGTGCTTGTGTAACTTTTCAACAAAGTTCTTCATGAAGCTTGAACACCAGAGCAATGGAAGAATGCCATCGTCACCATCATCCACAAAAAAGGCGACATTGCAAAACTTAGCAATTATCGGCCGATTAGCTTGCTCTCTCAGATTTATAAACGATTTACAAAGATTTTGACCATCTGGCTTACCAGTGAACTTGGCGAAACACAGCCTATTGAGCAGGCTGGCTTTCGGAGCGGCTTCTCAACCATCGACCATATCCACACGGTTAATCAGCTGATAGGGAAATGTCTCGAATTTAACCGGCCCCTTGTCATGGCCTTCGTCGATTATGAGAAGGCCTTTGACAGTATCTTACATTGGGCCGTGTTCCACGCTCTTCATCGCTGCCACATCGATTCCTGCTACGTGGATGTGTCACGGTGGGAAATGAGAAGCTGGAGAGAGTCGATCAGTAAAACTGTCTCGGACATGTTCTGTCCTTTGGCAAAGAGCATCACCCTAAAGAGATCTCAAAAAAATCCAGCTGGGATGGGTTGCGTTTAGCAAGTTAGGTGACATCCTTAAATCAGGTAAGGTTCCACAGTGTCTGAAGACCCGCTTGTTTAATCAATGTGTTCTGCCCACCATGCCGTATGTTGACGAGATGTGGACGCTCACGCAGGAGACTGTATACAGGTTGAGAGTTGCACAGAGGGACATGGAGCGCGCTATGCTCGGCATCAGCCTTGTAGACTGAGTTCCGAACGTTGAGATCCAACGATGGACGAAATTCCAGGATGCTGGAACTCGGATCATGGAACTCAAATGGGAATGGGCGGGACACCTAGCTAGGCAAGGCATGAAACTGAGTCATCAATTTTATTAATTTTTATGGACAACTCATTTGTACTGCAAAAACGAGCAATTCGTTCAGTGTACCGTGTAGTAGTGTAGGGTTGCTCTTGGTTTTCTCTCAGAGAAAAGTTTAAGGAGACTGGTATCATGACTGTGGCTTCACACTACATTTATTCAAATATTTATATGCCCGTAAAAATATACATAATTTTAATAAGAAAGAAGATATCCATAATATTAGAGCTAAGTCCAAACTCATAGTACCACCATTTCGTTTAGCCAAGGTAAACAACTCTTATGGACTGTATACGTTTTTACAATAAGATTCAGGAGCATATTTTGAGCATAGTTGTCCATAAAAATGAATAAAATTGATCAAATTTTTTTTAGTGCTGATCCACTCTGTTTCAGGTAGAGATTATTGCATTGTATGAGACGAAAAAATTTGGGACAATCGAAGTTGGTTAAACTTCATAAAATATTGTTCGTACAAAATTAATAAAAAAAAATACTAATTTTTTTATGCTAATAGACTCAGTTTCACAAAAGTATGATTTCATTGTATGAGAAGAAAAAAATCGGGACAGCTGAAGTTCGTCAAATTTAGTAAAATGATTTTTCATACGCAGTGAATAAAATGGACTAGTTTTTTTTAATGCTTCTTAGTAAATGTAGTTGATGTCAATTTTAATACTTCAAAATTGCATATCTGAATTTTACAAAATAAATAAATAAAAATAATTATTATTTATTATTATTAATAATTAAATGAGTAAGAATATAAAAAAAAAATATAATAATAAAAAAAAAAGGATTAGATAATAAGAGCCATCGATCCTATGATATTAGCTGAAGTATACCACCGGTTTACCATAGATCCGCAACGCACACATCGGACGGATCGCATCAATCGGCACCGTTTGTGGTAGTGCGTCCACTATATCCGCAGCAATCGGATTGCCGACGCAACTACTAGCTATCGAATTGCCGACGCCACTTTTCATAGCGAGCGGACGAATGTAACTTGTGTGTGCGAGACAATGGATTTGGAAAGTGATGAAGAACAATTTGTGGTGGTGGCTTGTTTGTTGGCAGAAGAAGAAAGAAGAGAAAAAAAAAGGAAACATGATATCTGGATACATGACATATTTAAGAAGAGATCGCAGTGTAGCGGCGCGCGCGCGGGGTGCGTACACTGATATGCAATCCAAATGACGTCGTCGGCACGCATCGAAAAAGTTGCCCCTCCGAGCAACTGCGTCGGCATTACCGACAGGCCGGTGCGTGCGGTCAGTGCTATGCGGATCAGTGGACGCAGTTGTATGAACTTCTATACAAAGAATACTAAAATCCCTATAAAGCGATCCGTCCGATGCGTGTGCTGCGGATTTGTGGACGCCTACCTTTAATGTGTATTGCTTAACGGAAACATATGCGAATTAAACAGTTGATGAGTTGTCATAGATGCAGAGTAATTAGACGAAATAATATGTTTAAAATTTATGTGGTGAATTCATTATTTTAACTGTACGAGAAATTTTCTATATGTCATGGAATTAAACGTAATTGTATAGGTTTGACTGCAAAAACGATGTGAACCAAATTAGCTATATGCTACACGTACATACTTTGATCTTCGAATCTAGGTTTCCTGGATATTGAGGCTGCAGAACTCACCACAAATTGATTCTTGCCTACAAAAATGAGTTTCACTTTCTGGCCAGAGTTGATATTAGCAGTTACGATGTGAGAAAACTCTAAATACGCATGAAAATTAGGTTTTAATAAAAATTGGATACGACCACCAAGGCAGCTTCAAACGGATTCTCTTTCAAATTTCAAATGTGAGTTTTTGATAAAATGATTGCTCGCTCGCACGGTAAGTGAGCGTCTGTCTTCCCTCCCTTTTACGTACATGTAGCACAAACGTGATTCGTTTGCCTACGAAACGAAATGACATTAAAAACGAATTACTAGGCGGGAAATTCAAAAATATACGACAGCTTGATCTCGCATTAATATTGAACACTAACTTTCCGTATATATTTTCAGTAGAAATAGTATAATGTGCAGCTTCTTTCTGTATTGCGATATGAATCTTAGCTCACCATCTCCGATTTTATTTTACAGAGAAGATATTGTACCACGGACAAAGGGTCCAGTATCGAGTTCATCTCCAACTAACACTATCAACGCTGCCATACAAACTTGGAAAATGTTAGTCTTTTGCTACGTTTGTACCTAAATTATTTTAGCTTATGTAATTTAAGGATTAAATTAAATATTTGTCCACAGTAAATCCATATCAGATGGCACAGATCGTGAGTGTTGCATTTTTAACTCATCCAATGTTTATGAACTATACTAGTATACTATCACGTGCACATAATAACACAATTATGATAATAGTACTTGTTAATAATTGTATAGGTTGCATTTGGCAAGGCGGCGTGCGCGCACTGCGGAACTCCCTCGTGCGACTCGTGCTGCGACAGATGCAACACGTTGATCGACTGAACAGGACACTTGACCATGTTCACAAAACGGGCCAGAAATTTGTTTATTAACCAGTAAAATCAACGCATACAAACCTTTATCTGAAGATGTCATTACCGTACATATAACGAGCTTGCTTAAACCGCCTTCTTCAGACGGCTCTTAACTCATCAGTTCAATTCTGTCTATCTCATGGTTGGTCAAATTGTGAATATTTTACAACTGTAATGTTAGAAAACTACAGACGATGAACCTTTGTTTACGCGGGCAACTCAGAATCACTAAATGTTTATTGCATAAATAGTCTGAAATGTTCGTGTTTAAGTAAATTATAGTTCATATAGGTTCATATATTAAGATGACTTCAATAATCCTAAATTTAACCATTACTGATTGGGTACAGACAAACAATTAACAAGTAAGCCAAGAATTCTGCCGATTTTACTAATTGTGAATAAAAACTCATTTAAACCGTATTGTTATTTACCCAATTATCTAATATTAGTATTAAAGGTATGGATATTTTTCGGAATTCCTGAACATTTTATAAAAGTGTCTTTGTATATTAAAACAATGTTAAAAAAATTAGTGTTACACACAGATTTTAAATTACTAAATGTCTATTAAAATATTTTTAGTATTTGTGGTCTTATTGTAAATTAAAAGAGAATGATTAAAAATAGGTTTTTTTATTTTAACAAAAGTACATAAGCAATAAAATAAACTGTTAAACAGAGCTACTTTACCACTCAGAGTTAGAAAGTAACCAGTTTCACAAATGAAAATGGCTAATAAAACGTACCTACAAAATAGGCACGAATCTTAGGCCAAAGCAGTTCGTTTTTTACAATAAAATTAACGAATTCGAAACGAAAAGTCGTAAATACTTTACCTATGTATTTGACGTATAATGTAGTAAGCATTTAAATATTTACAGTTTGAAATATGTATTATTTTTCATCTAACCATATCCTTACAATCATGAATGCAATATTCTCTAAAAAGGAAACCATTGTTCGATAATCTAAAACAATAGTTTTATCCCAATCAAGGGCAAATTATATAATTCTACGAGGTGTACAGTTTGAGTGAGAAGGTCATACTACTAAACCAAAACTGAAAATTATCCTGAACATGAGTATTGACATAAATATGAGTATTTAACAGTAAAATGAAGTTTGAAAGTGAGCCGTGTACGCGTTGCCATCCTTGAAGGAATTATATTGTTTACAATATAAAGTGGGCTGTTGATATGAAGCCGCCAGATAAATATGATGACTTCAGAAGTATGATTCTGACTGAGGCAACACAATGTTCTATATCTCGGACAATAATCATTAGTGTAAACTAAAATACACTTATATAGTACTTAATCTACGTAGGAGGTACCAATATCTTGACATTGTTTTCTGGTGCACTTATCCCTACGGAGCAAGGCTATGCGAAGTACGCTAGTGGGAAATTCTATTAGCACTTGCTTTAACGTTACATTATTGGCTACCACGTAGGTATAAAGAGCACGAGATAATTTCACAATTTACTCAGATCTAGTTTGATATATTTCATTGGTTTAGACTTAAATGAATTCTGTAGAGTGAGCGGCAGTGGAGCACGCGATAATCTGTCTTAAAGTTCACGTAGATGGCATTAGATGTCGCCGGCGACGAACCTCGTTGTCGATTGGTCGAGCTGTGGTGGTGGTCGTGGTAGTGGTGGGCGGATCCAGACCCTTAATCTCGAAAGGACCCCGGAACAGTGGCCGGAAAAGACGAAGGAATGACTGGTATCGCACTGCTGAGTTCTGTAACATTTTAAATCAAGTTTTTAATAGCGTACTTTTGTTCGTGTAGTAAATTTTTATTATTATAGTAAATACTTCTGATGTCATGAAATGTACATAATAAGAAATATCATAATATTATTTATGTACAAATTAACTATCGTACCTGTATGACGTCGCCGATAATCTTAGTGGTGCGGATTACCAACGACACGGAAGGCCCAAACAGGTTCCCCGGGAAGTCCAGCCTGACCTTGGTCCGGTCGAAAACTGGAATGGCGTCCGTCGTAGTGGTAACTTGACGAGGGGATCTCAGGGACAACGATGCGACCTCCGTGGGGCTCGTGAGCCTCTTGATGTCCTGGCGCCTCGATGTAGTGCCATTCTGCGTAGGTCACACACTTACCACCTACATCCTACTCGGGCCAGCCTCACCTCATTATTTTCAACTAAATTCGCTACTCTCTTTTACCGACTACCACACCACATTTTGCAATGAAAGTTTTGCCTTACAAAAAATATCAATTGCTTATTAATGACGTTCGCTAACGCTTCGTCGTAGGACCTATATCCAAAATAACTATCCCCTCGACCTCCAAACTGTTATGGACACAAAAACAATAAAAGTTTTATACTTTCATTACTAGACAATATATTTGAATGTTATAAAGTTATGTTCGCTGCTTTGCATAATGGTAAATCTTGTTAAACTGTTGTCGTAATCCAAGGGTATGTCTTGGATTGTAGTTTTGAATATATAAATACACAGTAAGCAGTTTTATGGATGAATTATTTTGAAATGAGTACCTACGCTAAAACTTCGTATGTATTGGTAACACGAGTGACACATACACATGGTGAAACGCTTGGATGTCACACACTGAAGTAACATTCAATAAACAGCTAATTGTTTTTGTAAATATGTGAATAATAAAACGAAAACAACGACAACGCATTTATATTTTATTATTTTTGAAATACAGACCAAATTTTACAATGTTTGGGTATTTCAGAAACGTTATGTTCCAAAGGTCAAAGTCAAGAGTCATATTGAAAAGTCTTTAGGGAGTTTGAAGGATTGGAAAAAAGGTCGAGCGAATGGGGTGTACACTGTTGTCTACGTGATTCCACAATAATAGCGTACTTCTACTTCTACAGTACCAATGTACAAGATGAAATCATGCATAAATTAAAACTTTATATATTTACTTTAATAATAAGTGTAATGTTCGTAAAATTATTACGCAGTACACTTGGTTACATGAAATTGTCTAGAGACCATATATACCAACATAATATGTGAATATTAAACACAAAAAAGTTTAATACATATCTACTTATCTTTTCAGAAACTCACTAATAAAACGAACTTTTACTTTTAGCCTTGAAGATGAGAACATGGTGACCACGGATTTATCTTTGATCTCCGCCTATCCGAGTATCCGGCGTTTGATAGCGAGACTTGTTTTTCCCAAGTGACTGTCGAAAAACCTAAGTAAGTAGGTACGTTCTAGTGTACGTACTTTGCAATTGCTAAATGTTCTGAGGTAACCATTGACTTGTAAGTCATTGGAGGTAACTCTAAATTGATTTTCATTAGCATACATAATTTCCAACGTACGAAAATATGAATATAAAATTACCGTGAACCTACAATGCTACGCTACGGTGAGGCTACGGCCTACGAGTGGGCTACGAGTAAAGCTACGATAATAATTACCATACAAATAATATGTACGTCAAAATAAAGTACTCATTAGTTTTATTATATTAATAAAAATATACACAAAAGCACAAATCGCATGCAATTCAGAATATTCGTCACACTCCAAAAACTCCAAATACTGTTCACCATCGAAATTCGTGCGCGTAAAACGTTAATCATCACGTCAAACAAAATTAAACATTTTCAATAAATAAAAGCATTGAAATTTGATTCAAGCAAATTAACGGGCAAATTATAAACAAATTAAATTGCTCAAAAATATTTAAAGCCAATTTCACTCCGGAATTAATTAATTAGGATATATGAAGGCAAAAATTGAGTAAACCTTTTGTAAATGAAAACCGTTTTTTGAAAACCATACAATAATGACAAGCTTGCGACTAGAATTGTGTATTTACAAGCGACGAGACGCGTGACTAGAACAGGAAAAAGTGGCGGCTGATTGCCAGTACTGGTGAATCTTACGACGTGATAACATATCTCTACTTTACTTATTTCCATAGTGCTTACATTAACACTAAATAACCTAAAAAAGTGATTCATGTATACCAATATATACCAATAATCAAACTATACAAAGTGCTTGTAACGCTACATCATATCTACAAGTCGGTGGTACGTTTTATAGTATCCATTTGAAAGGTATTTTTTTAAAACAATTTCAAAAAATTGTTTTTTTTTATTATAAAACGTTCCAATGAGCTGTGCGGGGTAAGGTGCGTGCAAACAAACAAAACAGTTGGAAGGAAATATTTAATATCACCAGCACTCACCTAAAACTATTTACATAAATACAAGGCGCATGGTGCGGCTCGCTTTAAGGGACCGCGGACTGTACAGGCGGTCAGAAGGCAAAGGAGAGAGCTTACAGTACACTACGACACTCATGGTCAGTCACCCTGTTCTATTTGTACCTACCCCATGTTGAATTAAGCACTCTAATAAAAACTACTAAAAGTAGCACTGGTATTATAAAATCATACATCTCAGAATAATTACATATCTGGTTTCAATAATTTAATTGTCCCAAGTGTTTACTTTTAAGATACATAAGACCGGTGTTGTAGTGCACTGGAGCGTAAAAGGCAAGGAGATCAAGAGTCGTCCTCTTCGGAGGAGTCGACAGTCTCAACGGTGGCGGTAGCGCCTGCACCGCCTGACGACGAGCCGGACAGCGAGGTCACCAGCGAGATGATTGAGCCCAGCCCGGAACCCGAGCCCCCACCTTGTCCACTGGAGCCGCCAGATGAGCTGCCGGATGAGCCTCCAAGCAACCCAGAAACAGCTTGTATCTTGGGGCCGAGCAGCTGCAGTTTAGGCCCCAAAACTTGGCCAACAATACCGGTCAACGATGAGAGCCCGTTTGCCAGGCCGCTTTGTGGAGCCTCAATGCCATATTGTTTATTGATAGCGATGTTTTGTCTATCTAGCGTATCCACCAATCGGGTCTTCGCGTCGATTATGGAGTTGATTTTCTAAAAAATAACGAACCTCTTAATTTTTGTTCATTTAAACATAATAATTAGATATCCAATCTGAAACAGTTACCCCAAAGACGAAGCCGAGGACAGCATTCTTGATACCGAACTTGGCCTGCGTGACACCTTCGAGCTTGCGCTTCTCACGAGTCTGCTCGTCGCCTTCAGCGTCCTGCGTACACATACATACGCGTCACTAGAAGCGCAGATGTTTCGCCGACACTACACTAACACTAGTCCGTCACCAACACCACAAGCACCGTTATCATGCACAACTCACCACACTATCACTACTAATGACTCCATCACCAGCATCAACACCTTTTGTTTATTATAACCGAAAAATTTGTCTATATCGTTGCCCAGAATATTTCGTTTATTGCGCTATGTTTCTGATTACTTATCTCTATCGTACATAACATTTCAATTAGCACAAAATGTTGAATAACGCTGAAGAAAAATAGGATCACTTCAGTGCTTAGATATTCTGAAGTCAGTGTAATTCGTGTACTCGTTTCATGGTTTGCAAAAATAAAATATTGAAGGCGTAAAACTCAAATTTTATCTTTCGTGATGTATTTAGCTCAGCCCATGGCAGAAATTTACATGCGGCAACGTTTAGCGAACGCTGACCGCATACATCGACAGCGAAGGCTGAGCCTTCACTTTACGTACCAAATAAGACTAAATGGGTGCCTACCTATGATATAATTCAATAACCATACTGCTCTTCGTCTTCGGTTGGCCACTTTAAGAAAGATTTTAAATTTTCGTTACAAAATCACTCACTTGATCTATGAATTACGTACCGCAAACGCTTACTTTACAATTCAGGCTAAGTGCCCTAGCGTCATTGAGCGGCCTCGCAATTTTTACTGTGAGAAAATTAAGAAATAACGTGCTGCATTAAAATAATTAATATTATTGTAATGCAGCAACAAATTATCATCGTCACAGAGCCGTTCTAGTTTTGTGTTAATCAAAATTGAATAAACATAAAATCTACGTTTATGTGAATCTTGTTTTATTGACAATTTAATTGTAAATTTTCAATGGCGCATGCGCAATTTTGTGTTATTTTTTGTTATTGTTTGGACAGGATAACTTATGTTAATACCTCAGTAAGGTCGAGATAGAGCGCCACATGTTTGTGCAAGAGATGTTCAGAGGTTTAGGTAAAATGACGCAAGCGACCTCTACCTCCGGCAGCTTACACAATTCACTGCATAGCACCATTCGGCAACTCTCCCGCCAGACAGGCGTATTTTCCTCTCACAATAATAAATGAATGGTTAAAACAATAGCCTTCTTAATACACAAAAACTTCATGATCAATAATGTCTCAAATGAATGGAGATTGTTTACTGTTAACCAATACTAGCTTATACGTTAGTCTCCGAATCATCACTTATATAATATGAAGTGAGTCTGTAATATATACGGCTATTTTCAGTAAGGTATAAAAACATAAAAAATAATCAATGTAGTAAAATCGATTGTAAATATTATCTTAATATTATTTAACATTAACACTAAACCTGCGGCTTATTTTGAGTGTCAGTTCTAATGTTTTCAAACTGAGTGGCATAATGCGAAGTGGATAGGACGGTGGTGGGTCGAGGCCGCCCACCTCTCGGCTATATCATTAGTGTAATCACACTCCAAATTAAGCGAAATACTAACTTTTATTCAACTCAGTATTTCAAATAATTTAAGTTTTTCTATAAATATTACAGAGGTAACTTAATTTTTTTTTAAAAACATCCAGTCAGCAGTTACCAATATATCTTAACAATATGATTATCACGGATCTGCAATAACTATCTTCATTTATTAGAATAATTGTGTCTAACCGAATATGGCGCAACGTTCTCATCAGACAGTTACCCAACAACACAGGTAAGCATGCAACACTCCACTGGGACTTTGAATAAAAAAGTATCGAAGCATTCACTGTGCGCTGCTTCTCTCATACAATATCAATCTAATGTTATACAGTCATTTACCACTAGTTCGTGTCATGCACACTACACATATACACTTCTATTGCCAATTTGAAGGCAAGACCTTGCATATTTGCATAATCAATAATTAAAACCTGACAAAAATCGTTACATTATGTGACTTTAGAATGCGCAACCATTTTAACATGAGCGACAATTAACTTAGATATAGATTAAGCTAGGACCTTAATAGTAGCCTTTCAAGGCTATTAGATTGTCTAATATTAAAGTAATCAAACTAGTTACGTTCTCAAAACGAAAAGTATATTGCATCACAAATTGAATTATAGGTGTAACAGAAATTTAAAAAAAACACATCTGATGAAAGAAACATAGTCATTACTATTATATTATTTACTAAACAGGCGGTAAAAATTAAGTCAAAGAGCACAAAAGTAACATTAACACGCGCGAACAATGCGAATATGGAAAGTAGTCTGAAGTTGAACTTCCTACTTGTATTTTCATCTTATGATGTAAAACAATGACTTGATATTTTGTAATATAACTGACAATCTGATGGAAAGAGGTTGTATAAGTACTAGATGCAGTGTGGGTCCAATGTCAGCACGGTCACCTACATTGGACATCATCGCGCGCAAGAGAGCGTTAAGATAATTGTTACATAATGGCTATTATGACGTAAAGGAAAAGACAGAAGAGTCTTTTGGGCCGTTTACTTTATAATAAGAATAGAGCAAACTTTAGGCGCCTTACAAAATCCAACGTGGCTTTTATAATGTTAGTGACACTCCTTTTATGTACGTGTTGTGTTTCTCCTTTTATGTATGTTCTATTCACATACCAAACGGAGCTTAACTCAGTCTTAGTCAGGTAATAAATTTGTCGATCATGTCATGAGTCTTGTTAAGGGTCTTAGAACCTACTGATATAGAACTAATAGAATTTGTAAGGTGTGTGTGTATAAACAAAATATATGAGAATAGTTTTCTAGTTATTGCGTTGTTTGACTTTGCAGCTTTGACGTAACGGCGTGTATGAGATGAGATGGCTTCATATATTTAAATATATCCAAGTTTCATAATACCCACAATCATTATTTTGTTTTTTGTAAATAGAGTCAATATAAATAAACATTTACATCTTTTTTGCCAAAAATTTTCAATAATATTAAGTATCATAAACATAATATAAATTAATGAATGTTTTCTAGCAATTTCTCTTTATTAGAGGCAGAATTTAACAGCTGGTAAGTCAGTGTTCTGCGGTCAGTGGCAAACATTAAATGTCATTTGCTAATGCTGGGTTATTAGGTAATTGGTGATTCAAATTACGCATTAGATGGCGAAAGCGGTTTATAAACATTCCTTTTGCTATATTCATATATTAAAATTCTGAGTGTCGCAACAACTGTGAACCGTCCTTGTTCGTCGTCATAAACGTTGCCTCAATCTTTAAGGTAATAAAGACAATCGTATGTCAGTATAGGGTACGATAGTACCACCGTAGCCATCAACTTAAAGGACAGCATATAAACGATCCATTGATTCGCGATACAAATGTGAATGTGTCACCATGTGAAACCACCACCGAACCGGCGGTTCGGTTAGTACATACTGTCTTATTGCATAATTATATTATGTCATTCATTACATTTTAAAGTATTATGTACAATTAACGATTATTTTTGTAATGTTAAGCTCGTATGTGGGTGCATGAAGCGGTAGCGGAAGGTAATAGTTTGTTTGAGGCGAGGCCGGCCACGATACTGGAAAGTTTAGATAAATACAAGGACTCTAAACATGCAATAAAACACACTGTGACGCAAGGTGGACCTTAGTTTTGTTGTGGGTTAATAAAATTGATACTTGAAGAAACTTTCAATTACACCTCAATAACTTATTGTGTGTTTTGTTACACGTGAATAAGTAGGTCATATAACTCGAGCAATTATCAATAAAGTTAGTAGTAGATATTTGACCTCCTTCTCAGTCGTGGGAAGAATGAAAAACACGTGTTAGTTAATCTCTAGTGTTGCTAAAGATTGATTGTTTGCTTCTTTCTTGTTATACCGTAACGATTCTCTAACGAGATAGCGTAACTTGTGTATTGATAATCGTTCGACAGCAGTGGAATGGCACTGCGTAAATATTGTATTATACTTATCCAATTCAATGTTTGTTGTACTTGGTTTACAAATGTATGCGTATTGAACAATTTAAAGCAACGCGCCCACCACAGCGGCCTTACGCAACAATTACCGTGGTCGACGGCGGCAGAGTGTTTTCCGCGCGGAATGTCCAAAATCATCCGTCGTCGCCAACCACATGTAGCTGTTACGACATTATTGTCAAGTGGTCAAATTACACATATATCTATTATGGTGATTTAGTTATTATGAATGTACCTCATATAGAATAATAAATAGTTCATGTTAATTATGAGTGCATGGCACTTATGAAACTGACCAATATTTACAATTAATCAAATGAATTAATGAATGAATGAATAAAGAAATGACATATTAGTTTCGAGACGTAACACTGATATTACTTGAAATTGCATAATTGAACCCATGTCCCGACCCTCTAAATTTATGGGACACATGCTTTTCATTGTACAAAATAAACATTCAACGGTCCCCGTCGTAGAGATCGTTAACATGCAACTCAAGTTGGAATTAAACGTAAGTGAAAATGCGCAAGAACTTGCGCTTTTGGGTCACTCGCAACTGTTGTTTAACATTAGGAAACAGGAACACTAGTATTTGTGAAAATTATGGATATTTTTATAATGATTTCTGAATTACTTTCGCTTTAGCCGGCAGTATAGCATAGCGGCAGATGAAGATAGACATACCTCTAGGGGCTGCAGCGTGTTATCGTCGGCAAGTTGCCTGCGTGCCCGCACGTGTGGCGGAGGCGCAGCGGCGGCGAGGGCGAGCGACAGGGCGAACAGTAGCGCGAGCGAGCGTGCGGCAAACATGGTGCGGGAGCGAGTACTGCACGCATGCCGCTAGCTGTGAGCTGCGTGAAGGGGACGCCGGCCGCAGTGGGGATGCTCCCCGTCCTCCACACTAGTTGCACAAATTCTCACCACGTCGCACCCGCCACCGCCGCCACAGTCTCTGCCGGCGTTCTTCGATGACGTAGGATCTGCAATAGATATAGTTAGATCTCGAAACTGTCCCCAATCTCTAATTTCATAAGTCATTTCACGTTTGCTTCACGAACCGATTGTTTTTTTTCATTCATCGACATCTAATTTATGATATTTGTTGTCTTTATCAAAAACGCAATGTTCAGGGTGCACCAACTTTTAATTGTACGTTTTACGAGTTACTTACTTGATTCCTCATCGCAGTACTGATCATTCTTAAAAGTATACCACAGACTGCCATTTTACAGAATCTCATAGATATCAGTACATAATTTCGTAGTACCAAATATGATTAAAATTCTAAGTATATGTATATTTGTTAAATCTATTTTGACATTAATCTAAAAATAATGTACGTACAGGACAAGACAGGTAGATGTTAAGAATGGTACTTAAGTACGTACATAAAGACACATATTCAAAGGAGTTTTTTTGTTAAAACGGTGAAGAAACATAATGTACATAATCAACAAAAAATTTAAATTTTCCTAATATAACTACAGATAGCTTGAAGTGCTTTTTCCAGTAAAAATTATTAATAAGCGTTTTGACGTCATGTGGAAAATTACTCGTAGATCCTACAATTAGTTATTCAAGTTAGAAAGGTGTCATCTAGATGTTATTTTGTTTTCGAACAATAAATACACTTATGAATTGTATACTTTAGAAGGAAATTATAAAATGATGACACAATGATAATGACAGCATCTCCAAGTGGTATTCGTACATTGCAATGAGAACTTGTTTTAACGAGCAGGAAGCTTTAATAAGTAAACCTGCATTTTGGATACAACTCACAATGTTTTGCGGAAACAATTGAAGTCATTAAACAGTATCTTCTCTGGTTGACAGCAGTCATGGGTTATTTCTGTTAATTCAGGTATTTCCACGGTATACGTAAACGATTACGGCAATGAAAATAAGTACCGAAACTGGATCAGTGTATCAAGTGTCATTATATGTCGCCGGTTATGGGCATAGCCAATGACTCGTAACCTTTGGACATTCTTTGTCAAGTCATGTGATATGTCGCGGTCAATAGTTGAACTTATCGAAGTCAAACACAACAGAATAGCAGGTCACCACATTTATTAAAAATTTTGTATCCACGCAGTAAGAGTGAAAAGGACGTTGCGCTTGTCGCTTCCGCTCAGAACGCCGACGCGAAATTCACGACGTCTTATTCATTCTTATGGCATAGTTATAAAACTTTTTTTGACCAGCTCAATGCGATTTCAACCAATACATGTAGCGACCCCCTAAGGCGAAAACAAACATTCTGATACTGTCCGCCATATTGGTTTTGTAAATGGAGCAAACATACCTGCTACATTTTTTTGTACGATACCGAGCGACGTGACGAACACGTCGAGCGCCTGGCGGTAAGCGCCACGCCTCTCCATAGCACTTGCAGTGTCACTCAGGGCTTTAAATCATAAGGAGCTGAGGGTCACTGCCACTGCACCCGTCACCCTGACACATACTAAGTTGACTAGTCCCATATACCCGTAATTCCACCAGCACCCCTACCCTTCAAAACCGAAACGAAGTAATACTCACATTATTGCTTGGCGGCAGAAATAGGTAAAGTGACAGTACTTCTCTGGACGAACTCTTTCACAAAGAGCTCTATTGCTACCAATTGGCTGGTTTATATATATGAATAATGTAACTTGGTTATTTACAGGTAACAAGGGACTCTGACATTCCGGCTCAATGCCAGTACGTTTATAAAATACTTGTTCCTAGAAAAATTTGGCAGATTAATTGAGTAGAGACAGTAATTCAATTGCAACATTGTCAAAAGTTATACAATAAGTTATTACTTATTATTATTAGTAAAGACAATATATTAACACCTACGGGTGATCGTTCGCCTTAGGTTGCTAAACTGTTTTATTGTGACATCGCGAGATTATTTCTTTTATATAAAGAAAAGTAGGTTTCTGCAATCGAATTTGTGTAACTTGTATGAGACAATTTCCATCAACATGCTTCCGGACCACTACGTTATTTCATTTCTTGTAAAATCTAAAGATTTTTGAAAACCTGTCACATACTTATCCGTAGAAAGACAGGTCTCTTGCAAATAAAGGTGACAGTTTATTTAAATACATAGCCATTTGCATTATTTGTGTACGTACAAGTAAAACAAAATAATGAATTTATTCAAGGCCAATAAGACATCCTCAGTTAGAAATTTTTTTTAACAAAATAAGTAGGACAGAAGTATTATCTCAAAACCAACAATCGGCAAATAACTTGTACGAGGAACAAACGCAATAAACCATGGGTCGTGCTAGAGGTCAACAGTTTTGTAAGAGGTCAATGCTTAAGCTTGACATAGACGACATATCGAGTTCTTAGGTTTTCGCTGTTGTTACTGTTTTTCCAGATTGAAATCGCGTATATTTGTTTTTTTTTCAGTCAACCGTGACCATGGGACCTGTAAAGAGCCCGAAACGTCGATTTATTTGAAAAAACAAATATACGTAATTTAAATCCGGAAAAATAGTTTCATTTCCTATAGACGACATACTTAATTTCAATTACATATTGTGGCTGTTAAAAGCTACCATAAGTGAGAACCTTAAAGAATATGGGTGACTCAAACTTATGTTTATTTTTCTGTAATAGTTTGTATTGTTTTATTGGAATTTGTATAGTGACTTTGGTGACTACCTTATTGTAGGAATTTAAATTCGGTAAAATTTCTTCTGCAAGAAAAAAAAATATACTGACCTTTGTTTCATAAAAGGCTTGACAAAAAGTAATGTGTCCATTGTCTGTACTATGCCTTATAGTGTCATCATACTAGCTCAAATACAACCACATTTTCGTACAATAGTTACTGTAATAAAGCGCAGATATAACAATGATATATCCATGAACCTAATTGGAGAGGTTAGCAATGAAATAAAGAGGCAAAACTTTTACTTAATAATATGCAATGAATGACATATTGTATTATTCCGATCACAATTACAAATACTGTAATATATAATAACACCTTCAGGTTTCTGTTGGGGCTGCTGTGGCGCTGTAGTGCAACAGGGATGTTTGCGGAGGCGCATGGATAAATTTTTCGTTATAATGAGGATGAGAATGCGCCCCTGCGCTCACTCGTCTCCTCGCCAGCACTAATTGACTCTTAAGGGTGTTCGCTGATCGGTGGAACTCCCCAATACTACGCCACTGGATGCAGCGTCATACTTAGCGTTGGGGAATTTCAGCATTAAAAACACGATGTTTTACCACCACTATAGTTATAAAATACTAACATTAGATTATAAGTTGTAATACTAACAAGATATGGATTGTGTCCGAAATAAAATCTTTTATTTCGGACACAATCTCAATCAATCAATTTATATTATTATATTATTATTATGGCTGAGCTTTAAGTAGCATGTTATTTCATAGCTGGGCTTTCAGCAGCTTTGGCTTGGCCGTGGCCGCCAAACTTCCTGTCTAGCTCAGCAACTGCAGTCAGTCATTCTGTAGGATATATCAAAAAGTTGCAATCGTATTTCAGCTGGTAATGGTACTGATAATCACCGTATATATAAAAAAATAAGAAGAAAATTCTGAAAAGACGTTAAGACACCTCATACAAAACGTGTGCGATCTGTACAAGTTGAACCCAATGTTATTGGTGAAAGTATTATTCCGGGTCTAAATCGCGCATATTATTTATTTTTAAACGAACCAAAGTTTCGGGCTCTGTACAGTTTCTATGGTCATGGCTGACTGTAAGGGCTATGTAGGTTTGTTTGATAAAACAAATATGCACGATGTAGATCCGAAAAAATAATTTCATTTCCTATCTGTAACAATCGGAAAAACGTAGAAACTCAATATTTTTTATCGAATTTGAATCTGTATTGGCTATGGTTATTTTATATTTATTACTATGAATAAGATACTAGCTGATATTTATGATCGGACATTTTTTACACCTTGTATAAACCTGTTGACTAACTTGTTACTTGTAACTATAATACTATAATAGGCTAATTTGTAGTAATTTAGTTTGTCTTTAACCGCTACAAATCACAAGACTTAGATTTCTTCACAACTGCTCTATTAAATGACGTCACACACATGCATGTCACAATTTTTGTAAGACCACGTTCATTTGCAAATTCACAAATAAGTAAGAAAAGAAAAACTGAAACAATGCATACCCGGTCGTATTGTCTCCTAACAGAGGTGTACACATAAAAAAGATGTATACGTTGAGTGTCAATAGACTAATAAATTGCATCAGAATGTCATGTAATCTTAAAATTCACCTTCAGTCTTAAAATATTTTTCACATTTGTAAGGAATTTATGTTTATTAAGTACTGCAACACAGTGTTCAGATATCAATGAATACGTTACAGATCTTATAAAATGTGTAAGTGCAATAAATGCAAAAAGCATATAATTTATGCCAAAATTACGAGTACATTTATAATTTTTATTACAATAAATCGTACTTGCAAATTGGACTAATGAACATGTACTTTAAGGTTAAAACAGGTAAACAAATTGTATAACTAGTTTTAACTATTATCAAGCGATGGTATGTGTGAAAACGATTTAGAATGGAAAGCTAAAGCGGAAACGAAGTTTTCCACGCCTTTTTGAATAGCCAGCGCGAATCGAAACTAGTATCATTGGCATTATCTGGGGCATGTTGTACCCAATCCGATGATGTACGGTGAATTTTGGGTATTGCTGAAGAAGGTTTCACGAATGTTATAGAAATTAAAGCGTTATGAAACACGTATGGTATAAGAGAGCGTAGCGATTTAAAATATTGTTTACTGACTAAGATAGAATGAGAATGCTTCTACAGTTGGTGAAAACG